GCCTACTATTGGGGTGCGACTTCAGTTTCATTGTTTTACCAACTCATCAGGCACGAAATATTACTTATGATTTTAAATTTGCTTCGTACCGTTGTGTATATATATATATATATATATATATATATATATATATATATAGCCGTAGCAAATGACATAAAGAAAACAATAGCACGTACGCTGCCACGTGACAATATTACTGAAGGGAAACGTATAGCCCTCGACACGCTGACACATAGAGATGACCTTATCATAACACAGGCTGACAAAGGGGGTGCGACAGTGATCTGGGCAATCGAAGAATACATTAAAGAGGCCAAGAAACAGCTATCCGACAAAGAAACCTATAAAAGCTTACCTACAGATCCCTTTCCAGAATACCAAAAAGAATTAACTAGCTCACTAAACATAATGCTTCGCAACAATCTAATCGACAAGGAAACATGCACAACGCTTACACCCAGAAACTTTACACCTGCTCGTTTCTATCTCCTTCCTAAAATACACAAAAGCAACAACCCAGGAAGGCCGGTTATTTCATCGTTCAACTGCCACACGACAAAAATTTCCAAATACATTACATACAACCGCTAGCTAAGGAAGTAAAATCCTACATCAGAGACACAACAGATCTACTGAACAAAATTAATCACATACAAACAGTTCCAGAGAATTCTATTCTAGTGACTATGGACGTAAGGTCACTATATTCAAACATTAAACACATCGAAGGGCTAACCGCCCTTCAGGAAGCACTTACTAAAAGAAGAAAACAAGATCCCTCCCACAGAAGTTATCATAAAACTCATGGAGCATGTCCTTACATTGAATAGTTTCAACTTCAATGGAGCGCACTACCTTCAAATAAGAGGTTGTGCCATGGGCATCATTGTAGCTCCATCATATGCTACAATATTCATGGGAAAATTTGAGGAGACCCATATCTATCCCCTCATTGGTAGCGACTGCGTATTCTATGCAAGATATATCGATGATATATTCTTTGTATACACGGGTAGTGATGACAAACTTATCCAATTCCTTATCACCCTAAACACAGTGCACGACTCACTTAAGTTTGACTATGAAAAATCCACAACATTAGTAACATTTTTAGAAACGCGCATTTACATAGATGAAAACAGGAAACTACAAACGACACTACACACCAAAATCATCGACACCCACAACTATTTACACTTTAAGTCTTCCCACCCTAAATAGGGAAGATTCTCTTTGAGGTCAAAGAGAATCTTTCCTATTCACAAGCACTCAGAAGAATATGTTCCAACAATGAAGAATTAAATACACACATTGAAAATCTGGAGCATCAATTCACAACACGTGGCTATAAACAACACCTAATCAGGGAACAAATAGATAAAACAATTTCCACACCTAGAGAAGACGCCCTAATGTACAAGATTAAAAATAAATCTAGCCGTATTCCTCTAGTAACCACTTTCAATCCCACTCTGCCTCCACTATCCCAAATAATCAAACGTCGCGGGAAAATACTACATCTCAAACCAGACCTAAAAAAATTGTTTAAGGAACCCAGCCTTCTAGCATATCGCAGACCTAAGAACCTAAAAGAAATCATAGGTAGTAACCACATTTCAGGGGACAAGGTAATCTGTCATAAACTAAGAACAAAAACAACAGGATTTTCACAACCATGTAACAACAAAAGAAGTTTATGTTGCAACCACATTAAACACACGAATTCATTCACTAGCTCAATCACTAAATCTACTTTCAAAATCTACCACGATTCTAATTGTAGAAGTCATAACATAATTTACCTCCTAGAATGCACACTATGCCAGAAACAATATGTAGGAAAATCTGAATGGCCCTTTCACTACAGAATTGATAATTATCGCAATTAAGTCGACTCCCCATGAAAAATTATTACCCGTAGAACAACATTTCCGCCTAGAAAAACACGATTGTAAAACCCATGCCAAATTCACTATAATTGAGAGAATAGAAAAGTTCAGAGCAAATAACATTAGAAAGATTTTATAATTCGATGGAAATAAGTGGATACAACGTTTAAAAACGCACTATCCAGCCGGGCTTAACCATAAATTTAACAATATAGATAGTATTAATATATAACAAATCAAAACCTACCCACATTTCTCACCCACACAAGACAGACATGCTTACGGAGGTGTTGAGGCCTCACACTTATACACACACCCACACGAACATGCACACTTACACACATCATACTCACTCACTCTCTAATGAGCCAAATGATAACACACTCCTACAGCAATATACACGCTTACACACATCATACTCACTCACTCCCTAAGAACCAAATAACACACACACACACACACTTAACAGAGACATCCCCTCTCCAGGAACCAATAAAACTGTGAAACTGACCAGGGGAATTCAGTGCAGCATAGATCCATCCAGCTCTTATCTCAAATAACAACTTAAAAGAGACTGTTTGACCAACACAAGGAATGTAAAAAGATTCATGTTAAAAAGATAAAAAATTAAAAAAAAAACAAAACAAATGAAAACTACAGACAAAAGTTCATTTTCTCCATCAAGACATTCATTTCTGTAGTTCACTGCTACCGGCAAGCAGAAATATTTCTTTTCCTGATGATGGCCATTTTGGCCGAAACTAGTTGAGGAATCTAAATGAAATAATAATAATAAAATCGAAATAATATTAATCTACAACCCAGTGTGTCTGAAGTTTTTATTCTTTTAATATTTTTTTTATTGTTCAATATATATATATATATATATATATATATATATATATATAGTTCGTACAATCACCCATATAAATATCTGAGGTTAGGCGCAGATACATATCCATAAGTTCGAGCATATATACAAAATTATAAAAATAAACCAAAAACGTGAAATACAGAGTAACAAATTAATATCCAAACAACTGAATATGTTAGCTCTATCACAGATATTGGGCACTTTCCCTTAATACCTCGCATATATATATATATATATATATATATATATATATATATATATATATGCCTACTTTCTGGGGTGCGACTTAAGTTTCGTTTGCTTTACCAACTCATCAGGCACGAGATATTACTTATGATTTTAAAATCATTAGTTATATCTCGTGCCTGATGAGTTGGTAAAACAACGAAACTTAAATTGCGCTCCAAAACTAGGTATATGTATATTTATTAATATATATTTCTTAGCTCTGTCGAACCACATCGAGCACTATTAAGTTTACACCTTAAAGTAAATTTGGTAAATGTCTAAATTGCTTACCTGTGAACGCAGGCTACTTTAAATTCCATAATGGATAATTTTTTTTCACGTTCTAATGAACGCTCGGCACATTGTCAACCGTTTGCATTTAAAAGCATAATGAAAAATTACGGCAATGGATAACAACGCACAACTTTGTATAAATATTTATACTAATGAACAACATATAGTTCTGTACTACTTGCACCCCTGAAGATGATCTTGGATAAAGATCGAAAGTACTTGGGAAATGAAAATAAAAGAAATTTAAACAGCTATAGCACATTTCTCTCATTCTTTAAGGTTATTAGTGAGTATTAACGGATTGTTTAACAACGGATAATGTCTGTAATTTATTCAATCAGAGGTGCCTCTATATATATATATATATATATATATATATATATATATATATATATATATATGAGATCTGATGAGGTATTATGCACATTATTTACATTATTCGGACTATTGTCCTCATCTTTGTCGCCATATTTATCACAACGTTTCGGCCGTTGTACGCTCCGGCCTTCTTCAGGTGGTTGGAATGTTGAACTGAACCTTTTATTTCGCTCACCGGGGTAGACTGTTCTAGTTCCACGTGCCATGTTTGATGGATGTCAGTTATCAGTTATCTCCTGTTAATTTCCCTCTGAAAGTTCTCCACTGCCTTAACCGGGTATTGAACTCACATTCTTTGGGTCATGTCACTGGATCTAACCAACGCCTTTATCCACTGCGCCATGTGTCCTTAAGGACACATGGGACAGTCTACTAGAACAGTCTACCCCGGTGAGCGAAATAAAGTGTTCAGTTCGACATTCCAACCACCTGAAGAAGGCCGGAGCGTACAACGGCCGAAACGTTGTGATAAATATGGCGACAAAGATGAGGACAATAGTCCGAATAATGTAAATAATATATATATATATATATGCGTGTGTGTGTGTGTGTTAGATAAGACAAAGAACAAATAAGAAATGTTTATCAATCTAACATGTTTCACTTTTATCAAAGCTTCTTCAGAGAATAAGATATGGAGAAAATGAAGCAGGAAATTAATTTTGGCATTTTACTTTTGTCTTGTTTGATTGGTTTGGTTTGTTTTGTTTTACGGTATATCAACCTCAGTGGGTTATTTAATTTAACAAGATATTTATTGCTGGAAATATCTTTTTCAAAAGATTATTTCTGCTAATATTTTTCCCAAAAATATATTGCTTGTAATAATTTTTCTTCGAAATTTTTTTGCTGGTATTAAAATCTATTTTTACATGTTTTTGACCCCAGTTTTGGGCGTTAACTATTTTCCATAGTTGCTACCACCCCGGGTCAGGGTGGATTTTTGAACACCAGCAATTAAGAGATTGTTCCACGCTTCTCAAAACCTCCTGACGAGAGGCTTTGCTTTTGAATGTAGTTTATCTGAAAGAAAAAGAAAAAAAAAACATTAGACGCTTAAACTTAATTCACATTAAAATTGTATAAGTGTTATTGGAACACCCATTATATACAGAGTGGGCGAAAAGTAAATAGGTATTAAAAATTGGTAATAAAATCCATATTCCTATTAAGGAATTATTGAAAAATATTATTGCAAAAATAATGACGTAAGAAGGTCGTTTTTGACGTTAAAAAATACGTAAAAAAAACGACATTATTACGTCATTATTTTTGCACCAACCTAATAATTATACGTTCTTTATTACATGGAAAAATGAAAGTAAATTTTCAGATTTCTACGGAAGCACTAGTGACATAAAACGGTCAAGAATGGAAAGAAGAACCTTCTGAAAGGCGTCATCTGGGATATCATTGAGAACCTCCTGTATCCGTGTCTCTAAGTCCTCCAGTGTGCGGGGTTTTGTCTTATACACCTCCTCTTTTGTGTAACCCCACAGGAAAAAAGGAAATGAATTGAGATCTGAACTTCTAGGCGGACATTTATGAGGTCCACGTGGTTCCGTCCAACGTTCTGGAAAATGTTGGTTTAACCCCGCACGCACAGTAAGAGCAAAATTGTGAGGTGCACCGTCCTGCATGAATATCTGGTCACCAATGTTATCCCGGCCAGGCACCGTGGGCCACACGTAATATTCGGGCACAAGTAATTTTCGAGCATTTGACGATAGCGGTCCGTATTCATGGTGTCCCGCAGAAGATATGTACCGGCGACTTTTGTTGCCGTCTTTCCGGACCACAGGGTCAAGCTTGCATCCTCTCAACCGTCGTGTTCGGATCGTTATCAAACGAGGCCCAGTAATAGGTGTTGTGAACAGAATACGATCAGCAAATATGTTTTAAATTTACAGAAATACAGATACATATACAGAGAAAAAAATCCTAAAAATCGTCTCAGATGAAGTAATTTGGAAAATAAAAATTATTTGAAAGAAAATTTTGGTATTTTTCTTAATCAGTTTTCTACGACTGCTAAGAAATTGATTCGTGGACTCGAAAGGATTAAAACAAAAATAAACAGACATACTGTGTCTAAATTATTTAATCACACTAATATATATATATATATATATATGTTAACGAATTATGACAGTTTTTTTTATATACACAAAACCCTTTCAGAAAAAATAAATTAAAAAAATAAATAAATCTCCATAGACACTTAACCAGACTAGACGATGTCATCTTCCGCTTTAAATTTAGACACCCCAACCTTACCCTGACTTGACGTCTTTGAATGTAACTGAGATATTGATACAAATTATTAACCCTTACGCCCCTTTTCTTTAAATAATTACTCTAGCCGTTACCATAGTAATTTTAATTTCAATAATGAATATGCTTATAAAACGCGTAAATTTCAGGAATTAGTTATTCAAAAAAAATTTCGCTTGAAGATGGATCAGAGCTTGGTACTTTAATTCAATTTAATTCAAATAATTATATTGATGTTTTCGGCTCTTGTTTTGAAACATGAAAACTCTTATGTAGCGATGCAATCATATTTTTAAATAAATATATATATATATATATATATATATATATATATATATATATATATATATAAGTGAACATAGAAGTCAACACTTAGAGGCGACAGTCTGTTTCATGCTAGACGCAATCATCAGGTTACCCGGCTGAATTAGCGTCTGTCTGTTGTGTCTAGCATGAAACAGAGTGTCGCCTCTAAGTGTTGACTTCTATGTTCACTTTTATATTTACACACGCTCTATCTTTGATATTGATCACTTTATCCCATAAATATAGCACACCTTAAGACTATATTTTTTATATATATATATATATATATATATATATATATATAAATATAAAACATTAGGCAGCATATGATTTACATACAAAAGAATAATCACACATAGAATTAATCAAGTATTAATGCGATTATTGGCGACATCCATCGCTAGAAAACATAATATATGCATTAAAATCCTGTTCATCCATAGTGCGAGTTTTGATCCTTGAAGAAAAACTTGTTGTCTGTAGTCTGAAAAAAAAACACATGCCTGATGATGGATGGAAGACTATCCCTAAATACTAGCATTTTAACATCAAATAAACTGAAAAACTACAGACAACAAGTTTTTCGTCAAGGATCAAAACTCGCACTATGGATGAACATGATTTTAATGCATATATTATGTTTTCTAGCGATGGATGTCGCCAATAATCGCATTAATACTTCTGATTAATTCTATGTGTGATTATTCTTTGTATGTAAATCATATGCTGCCTAATGTTTTATGTTTATTATAAACTATCGATCCGCAGTACATAAAAAATTCCTATAAAAAACTACTACTAAGACATTACACTATATTATTGAACTATATACTTAGTTCATGACATAAAAACTGAATACACTTGTAAAAATAGAATACGTGGATTTAACACATCACAAGAAATATTTAAATAAAATTCTCACTTAAAAAATTTTGAAAAACTTAGCGTTGCGTCTTTGCACGTTCCAAGATCTTACACAACCGTCAATAATAGCAGATATTCAAAAAACATCTTTCGGTCGACATACAGATATATCGTCTCAAGTTTTTGATTTTATAAGGAAAAAAAACACATGCCTGATGATGGATGGAAGACTGTCCGTAAGTACTAGCATTTTAACATCAAATAAACTGAAAAACTACAGACAAGTTTTTCTTCAAGGATCAAAACTCGCACTATGGATGAACAGGATTTTTAATGCATATATTATTTTTTCTAGCGGTGGATGTCGCCAATAATCGCATTAATACTTCTGAT